TTTTTTTTAGTTTGACGCGCCGCATCAAAAACTATCCGACCAATGAGATTGGCGCTTTTGCTCACGTGTCTGGAGCTTCCGAAGTTACAATAAAACACAACTTGGGGGCGCTCAAACACAAAACGGTCTTGCCGAGCACACATACGTAACGGCGAAGAAGATATACGCCAAGATGCGTCTACACTGCCGGGAAGAAATAAGACGAGGAAGATGCAAGGCCAGATGAATGTAGAGCTGCTGGTCTCGTTGGTCTCGGAACATAAAGAACTATATGACAAACGCGACAGCGACTACATCTAATCTTGATAAAAGAGAATGTTATGGAGTGGTATTGCAGAGCAAATGGGCGCCATCTAATGTCAGGGAATGAATTTGCATGTTCACTCGGCTCATCGTCAGCCAAAACCGCTCGGGTGTGAACACAAGAAACACGTTGAAAAACGCTGGCGAATAACGTGCGCCGATATTTGTCCCGGTGTGTACGAGCCTTTAGGGGTCGGGGCTAGTGTGTGTGTGTGATGGGTAGGTTTAGGGGTCGGGCTAGTGTGTGTGTGTGTGTGTGATGGGTAGGTTTAGGGGTCGGGCTAGTGTGTGTGTGTGTGTGTGTGTGTGTGTGTGTGTGATGGGTAGGTTTAGGGGTCGGGCTAGTGTGTGTGTGTGTGTGTGTGTGTGTGTGTGTGTGATGGGTAGGTTTAGGGGTCGGGCTAGTGTGTGTGTGTGTGTGTGTGTGATGGGCAGGTTTAGGGGTCGGGTTAGAGTAAGAGGAGAGAATATACAGTTTGTACAGTATAAAAACCATTACGTCTATGGAGAGTCCCCACAAAGGTAGAGAACCAGACAGTGTGTGTGTGTGTGTGTGTGTGTGTGTGTCACTCACAGCACTCGAGGGCACATGTGAGTCCAGAGACATGCTCTTCATGGCAGGGTCGAGTGTGACGTCCTTCTGTGTTCTCCTGCTCTTCTCCTTCTCGTCTCGATCCCCTCGACCCGCTTCTCCCAGATCCTGCTCTTCTTCTGCTTTCTGTCTCTCCAGCCTCTTCCTCTTCTCCTCCTCATCCTCCTGTTCCTTCTCCTCCCGCTGGTGTCTCTCGGCCGCCTCCCTCTCTCTCTCTCTCCTGCGCTGCTCCTGCTCTCTCCGGGCCGTCTCCATCAGGCTGAGGGTCTCGGCCTGGATCTCCCGGCGCTCCTCTGCGCTGAGGGCTCGGGACGGGTCGCTCGCGGGTCCGGCGGGTCGGGTGGGCTTGGTGGAGCGGTCCGGCAGAACCAGGCCGTTGGGCACCGCAGGGCTGTCGTTAGCCGGAGGCTCGTCGCTGGTCTTCACACTCGGCGGCAGCTTCACCGAAGGTTTCTTCGTGCGGTCGACCTGAGGAACGGTAGAGACGTGTGTGTGTGTGTGTGTGGTGCAGTGGATCACAAAACTCACGGATCGGATCATTTACGTTTTTTGAGCCACGGATCGGATCTTTCTTCAGGGGCGTGAAACTACTATGAGTGTGTGAAACTAAAAACTACTAGCCTAACTGATCAAGTTCAAACATTATTAAAACAACTGAACAGTCAGTAATAAAATAAGAACAAATACACAAATTACAAGCAGAGATGAACACTAAATAAAGTTACAAAGTCTAACAGTATTTAGGTACAGAAATTAATAATTAAGCCTAAATGTAAAATAACACTATTTGCTCACTGTAGAAATTAGATATAGTTTCATCTTTGTTAAAGCTGTTTTATGAACAGTAATAACACAGGAAACCTCTCGGAAGCAGGAATGAGGCTACTGTCACTTTAAGACCGAATGCACGCATCCGGTTCACTCATGACAGAACCTAGTGTGAGTGTGAATCACGGGCTGCGTTCACATGCACAACTGGTTTCAATCGGACTGAATTCATTCCGATTGATAAATGCGAACGTAGTGTTTACCAATCCAATCGACATTTCATTGGGATCGAGCTCATTCGGATCAAAGGCGTTTACATGAAGGCTTTTCAGTCAGTCCGATCACTAACGGATTATTTGGTTGCATGCGAAAGTAGCCAGTGTGTGTGTGTGTGAGAGAGACTCACCTGTGGAGTGTGTCTGGGCGAGGCGGCGGCGTCAGTGGCGGTGGGCTGAACGAGGGGCGTGTGTGTGTGTGGTGTGTGTGTGTTAGCGAGCGGTTCTGCCGGCGGGTCCTGGGTCACAGTGGAGCCGTTGATCTGCGCAGGCTCAGGCTCTTCACACTCGACCACAGGCTTGGGCTCCTCCAGCGACGGGTACGTGAAGTTCACTGAAAACACAGCAAACACTATCAGGGTTTGAAATTAACTTTCACTCACCGGCCAATTTGGCTAGTAAATTAAGTTACCGACCATTCAGAATTCAGTATGGAGTGTGTGATGAAGTGTGTGAGACTCACGCTGGGGCGGAGACAGTATGGAGTGTGTGATGAAGTGTGTGAGACTCACGCTGGGGCGGAGACAGTATGGAGTGTGTGATGAAGTGTGTGAGACTCACGCTGGGGCGGAGACAGTATGGAGTGTGTGATGAAGTGTGTCAGACTCACGCTGGGGCTGAGACAGTATGGAGTGTGTGATGAAGTGTGTGAGACTCACGCTGGGGCTGAGACAGTATGGAGTGTGTGATGAAGTGTGTGAGACTCACGCTGGGGCGGAGACAGTATGGAGTGTGTGATGAAGTGTGTCAGACTCACGCTGGGGCGGAGACAGTATGGAGTGTGTGATGAAGTGTGTGAGACTCACGCTGGGGCGGAGACAGTATGGAGTGTGTGATGAAGTGTGTGAGACTCACGCTGGGGCGGAGACAGTATGGAGTGTGTGATGAAGTGTGTGAGACTCACGCTGGGGCGGAGACAGTATGGAGTGTGTGATGAAGTGTGTGAGACTCACGCTGGGGCGGAGACAGTATGGAGTGTGTCATGAAGTGTGTGAGACTCACGCTGGGGCGGAGACAGTATGGAGTGTGTCATGAAGTGTGTGAGACTCACGCTGGGGCGGAGACAGTATGGAGTGTGTGATGAAGTGTGTGAGACTCACGCTGTGGCGGAGACAGTATGGAGTGTGTGATGAAGTGTGTGAGACTCACGCTGGGGCGGAGACAGTATGGAGTGTGTGATGAAGTGTGTGAGACTCACGCTGGGGCGGAGACAGTATGGAGTGTGTGATGAAGTGTGTGAGACTCACGCTGGGGCGGAGACAGTGTGGAGTGTGTGATGAAGTGTGTGAGACTCACGCTGGGGCGGAGACAGTATGGAGTGTGTGATGAAGTGTGTGAGACTCACGCTGGGGCGGAGACAGTATGGAGTGTGTGATGAAGTGTGTGAGACTCACGCTGTGGCGGAGACAGTATGGAGTGTGTGATGAAGTGTGTGAGACTCACGCTGGGGCGGAGACAGTATGGAGTGTGTGATGAAGTGTGTGAGACTCACGCTGGGGCGGAGACAGTATGGAGTGTGTGATGAAGTGTGTGAGACTCACGCTGGGGCGGAGACAGTATGGAGTGTGTGATGAAGTGTGTGAGACTCACGCTGGGGCGGAGACAGTATGGAGTGTGTGATGAAGTGTGTGAGACTCACGCTGGGGCGGAGACAGTATGGAGTGTGTGATGAAGTGTGTGAGACTCACGCTGTGGCGGAGACAGTATGGAGTGTGTGATGAAGTGTGTGAGACTCACGCTGGGGCGGAGACAGTATGGAGTGTGTGATGAAGTGTGTGAGACTCACGCTGGGGCGGAGACAGTATGGAGTGTGTGATGAAGTGTGTGAGACTCACGCTGTGGCGGAGACAGTATGGAGTGTGTGATGAAGTGTGTGAGACTCACGCTGGGGCGGAGACAGTATGGAGTGTGTGATGAAGTGTGTGAGACTCACGCTGTGGCGGAGACAGTATGGAGTGTGTGATGAAGTGTGTGAGACTCACGCTGGGGCGGAGACAGTATGGAGTGTGTGATGAAGTGTGTGAGACTCACGCTGGGGCGGAGACAGTATGGAGTGTGTGATGAAGTGTGTGAGACTCACGCTGGGGCGGAGACAGTATGGAGTGTGTGATGAAGTGTGTGAGACTCACGCTGGGGCGGAGACAGTATGGAGTGTGTCATGAAGTGTGTGAGACTCACGCTGGGGCGGAGACAGTATGGAGTGTGTGATGAAGTGTGTGAGACTCACGCTGGGGCGGAGACAGTATGGAGTGTGTGATGAAGTGTGTGAGACTCACGCTGGGGCGGAGACAGTATGGAGTGTGTCATGAAGTGTGTGAGACTCACGCTGGGGCGGAGACAGTATGGAGTGTGTGATGAAGTGTGTGAGACTCACGCTGGGGCGGAGACAGTATGGAGTGTGTGATGAAGTGTGTGAGACTCACGCTGGGGCGGTGCGCTGGACTCCTGCTGTCTGGGCGGCTTGACTTTAGCGTTGCTGGTGTACATCGGGTAAAACAGCAGCCAGTTCTCGTACCCTCCCTCCAGCACCAGCGGCTCACTGCGCAGGATCATACTGCTGTCCCACTGCACACACACACACACGTCAGACACACACACACGCACACGTCAGACACACACACACGCCACGCACACGTCAGACACACACACACAACGCACACGTCAGACACACACACGCAACGCACACGCCAGACACACGCCACACACACACGTCAGACACACACACGCAACGCACACGTCAGACACACACACGCAACGCACACGCCAGACACACGCCACACACACGTCAGACACACACACACAACGCACACGTCAGACAAACACACGCAACGCACACGTCAGACACACACACGCAACACACACGTCAGACACACACACACAACGCACACGTCAGACACACACACGCAACGCACACGCCAGACACACGCCACACACACGTCAGACACACACACACAACGCACACGTCAGACACACACACGCAACGCACACGTCAGACACACGCCACACACACACGTCAGACACACACACGCAACGCACACGTCAGACACACACACACAACGCACACGTCAGACACACACACGCAACGCACACGCCAGACACACGCCACACACACACGTCAGACACACACACGCAACGCACACGTCAGACACACACACGCAACGCACACGCCAGACACACGCCACGCACACGTCAGACACGCACACGCAACGCACACGTCAGACACACGCCACACACACACGTCAGACACACACACGCAACGCACACGTCAGACACACACATGCAACGTACACGCCACACACACACAACGCACACGCCAGACACACGCCACGCACACGTCAGACACGCACACGCCACACAGACGTCAGGCACGCAACGCACACGTCAGACACACACACGCAACACACACGTCAGACACACACACACAACGCACACGTCAGACACACACACACAACGCACACGTCAGACACACACACGCAACGCACACGTCAGACACACGCCACACACACACGTCAGACACACACACGCAACGCACACGTCAGACACACACACACAACGCACACGTCAGACACACACACGCAACGCACACGCCAGACACACGCCACACACACACGTCAGACACACACACGCAACGCACACGTCAGACACACACACGCAACGCACACGCCAGACACACGCCACGCACACGTCAGACACGCACACGCAACGCACACGTCAGACACACGCCACACACACACGTCAGACACACACACGCAACGCACACGTCAGACACACACATGCAACGTACACGCCACACACACACAACGCACACGCCAGACACACGCCACGCACACGTCAGACACGCACACGCCACACAGACGTCAGGCACGCAACGCACACGTCAGACACACACACGCAACGCACACGCCAGACACACGCCACACACACACGTCAGACACACACACGCAACGCACACGTCAGACACACACATGCAACGTACACGCCACACACACGTCAGACACGCCACGCACACGTCAGACACACACACACAACGCACACGTCTGACAAACACACGCAACGCACACGTCAGACACACACACGCAACGCACACGTCAGACACACACACGCAACGCACACGTCAGACACACGCCACGCACACGTCAGACACACACACGCAACGCACACGTCAGACACACGCCACGCACACGTCTGACAAACACACACAACGCACACGTCAGACAAACACACGCAACGCACACGTCAGACACACACACGCAACGCACACGTCAGACACACGCCACGCACACGTCAGACACACACACACAACGCACACGTCAGACACACACACGCAACGCACACGCCAGACACACGCCACACACACACGTCAGACACACACACGCAACACACACGTCAGACACACACGCCAGACACACGCCACACACACGTCAGACACACACACACAACGCACACGTCAGACACACGCCACACACACACGTCAGACACACGCCACACACACACGTCAGACACACACACGCAACGCACACGTCAGACACACGTCAGACACACACACGCAACGCACACGCCACACACACGTCAGACACACACACACAACGCACACGTCAGACACACACACGCAACGCACATGTCAGACACACACACGCAACGCACACGCCAGACACACGCCACACACAAGTCAGACACACGCCACACACACACGTCAGACACACACACACAACGCACACGTCAGACACACACACGCAACGCACACGTCAGACACACGCCACACACACGTCAGACACACACACGCACACACGTCAGACACACACACACACAACGCACACGTCAGACACACACACGCAACGCACACGTCAGACACACGCCACACACACGTCAGACACACACACACACACACGTCAGACACACACACGCAACGCACACGTCAGACACACACACGCCACACACACGTCAGACACACACACACACAACGCACACGTCAGACACACACACACAACGCACACGTCAGACACACACACGCAACGCACACGTCAGACACACACACGCAACGCACACGTCAGACACACACACGCAACGCACACGCCAGACACACGCCACACAGACGTCAGACACGCAACGCACACGTCAGACACACACGCAACGCACACGTCAGACACACACACGCAACGCACACGTCAGACACACACACGCAACGCACACGCCAGACACACGCCACACAGACGTCAGACACGCAACGCACACGTCAGACACACACACGCAACACACACGTCACACACAGGGAGCTGCAGCGCTACAGTACCTTATAGAGAGCATCCTTCAGACTCTGTAAAGTGGTTCCCAGTCTGAGATCAGAGACGCAGCTGAACCAGTCCAGCAGAACCAGGTAATCCACGAAGCCTCTGCGCTTCCAGTCCTCCAGAGACGCTGCTGGGAGCTTCAGCTCGATCTGATTCACCGTCACCCTGCAGATTACCAGCACATCGGAGTATTAGTGTGTGTGAGCCAGAGATGCTCACAAGTCTCTGAGCTAGAGTCCAAGTCAAGTCTCAAGTCTCTGAGCTAGAGTCCAAGTCAAGTCTCAAGTCTCTGAGCTAGAGTCCAAGTCAAGTCTCAAGTCTTTGAGCTAGAGTCCAAGTCAAGTCTCAAGTCTCTGAGCTAGAGTCCAAGTCAAGTCTCAAGTCTCTGAGCTAGAGTCCAAGTCAAGTCTCAAGTCTCTGAGCTAGAGTCCAAGTCAAGTCTCAAGTCTCTTGTGGTTATAAGTGTTGCATCACGTACAGCGACCCATCCAGGTTGCTTAGAACACTGCATAGCTTTATATAAGGAATTCAAAGCATGTAATATGTTAGGTTACACTTTATTTCGATGGTCCACTTTAGACATTAACCATGTACATTTTCAACTACATGTCAACTAACTCTCATTAGAGTATTAGTAGACTGTCAGGTTATGATGTGGGTTCGGGTTTGGAGAACAAGTTGACTTGTAGTTGCCAAGTTACTTATAGTCAGTAGAATATCTGTTGGGGAACCAACAAAATAAGATATTATAATATATAATTAGCAGATATTAAGCCTACTAATACTCTAATGAGAGTTAGTTGACATGCAGCTGCAAAGTTACTTATAGTTAGTAGAATGTATAAAGTGGACTATCAAAATAAAGTGGTACCATATGTTATTATGACTCCTTTATCTATTAGCATACAGTATCAGCTTTGATTTTGGTATATAATCAGTGTAAACAGGCTATTACAACATGACAAAAACACCAAGAATGCTTTACTTTTAGTTAATTTCTTTATTTTGCCTTGTAGCTTGAACATACCAAGACATAAGACCAAATATAGAAAATGATATAACTCACAACACTAAAATTGACACACTCCTATTAGTGCAAAACATCAGTGTAGCTAAATGCAAATAAACTATTGCATCCAAATGAAATTTTTAACACTACAGTGCATTTCCAAAACATTCAAATGCTCAAAATCTTTAGTGTAAATGTGAAGCAACTGATCAACTTATGGCATGTAACTTAAGAACAAAATGTTTAGAAATAAAATCCAAAGGGTGAGATCAGACTGGTTAACCTTCTCTTCTCTCAACACACTAGGTATGGGCCACAAAACATTTCTGGCTTCTTCTGGCTGCACTGCCTATGCAACTAATCATAGCTTATATACTGTAAGTCAACACATCCCAGACTCTCAAACCAGTGTAACGTTATAACTAAATGAAACAGTAACGTTACATGATCAACAATAAACCTGTTTGTAGACAACGGGCAGCCAGCGGCACGTAAATGATTAACGTTACGTTAATCGACCAGCACAAGTTTGGCAATTAAACAAACGCTCATTCATATTTCATAAGGAAGACAATCGGAGTTAACCTCCCGTAACGTTAGGTAGCTAAAGCAATAAGCAAGCTAACGGTAGATGGTCAATGCTGAGCTAAACATGTTTACTCACCTATCAGGGTGCGTTTTCAGACGCCTGATAAAATTAGATGTAGTTGAGCCAGAATCTTTTATCGTGATACTGCATATTTTGCATTGAGCGCTTCTTTTGAGCGCGTCTTGTTTGAAGTTTTTGAACCCAAAGCTAACGATGAATGGCACAGCAGCGGCCGTTGCAGTCAAACTTTTTGTTTGTTATCCTCTCATGTGTGGTCGCGCGCGCGCTGCCAGCAATAGGCCACGTAGTACGTGGTTACGTAGGCAGGTTATAGGTAACGGAGGGAGGGGGATAACAGCGAGCTCATCAGACGTTTCCTAAAAATAAACATTGTTCACGAGTCCCGCAGCTCGAGTCCGAGTCGAGTCTGAAGTCTTTCGAGGACGAGTCTCAAGTCGAGTCTGAAGTCACTGTGTGTGGGACTTAAGTCGCACTCGAGTCCGAGTCTCAAACTCGAGTCCCCATCTCTGGTGTGAGCACTGAGCAGGAAGGGCTGGCGATAAAGGTGATCAAAAAATAATAAAAATGTAAGTACTTGCTCTCTCTTAAAGTCACCATGAAATCAAAGTGACAGCTCTTGTTTTTTTAATGGAATATTTTCAGTATTGTAAATGATGTATGGGTGCACATCATCATTATTGTGTTAATAATGTTGAATCAGAATATCTTCCTCTTGCAGCATCTCTTCTCTTCTCTGATGACGAGGGCGGGGCTATAACCTGTCACTCACAGGAGATCAGCCAATAGTAAACCACAACCATCCAATCAGTTCCCCACAGACACAATCAAGCCCCGCCCACATGTGTTCTTGTTCCAGAAGCGTTTCATTCGGATATACGACACAATAGAGGAGAAAATACCAATATCATTCAGTTTAATGATAATTTCATTGTGCATATTTTGTTTAATCATGTCAAATGACCCAACAGCCATCGTAGCCAATTAGCAGCCATTTATTTACCTAAAGTTTTTAAAGTGCAATGTAAGAGATTTTTTCTTCCGTATTGTGACGTAGTGAAACAGATTAAAGAAAACAAAAAATGTAGAGTGGGACTGGTTCTGTTCCTCAGTTGTTGATTGGATGTTGAGAAGGCGGAGCTTTCGAGGGGCGGGGTTTAACAAGACCTTAACAGGTCAAAAACATTTTTAAAAACATGCATGAATGAACCCTTCACAACAAGACTATTGTGATATATTTATTTCATGCTGACTTTATGGAACATGTAAAATGCTATTATTTCAGGTGGCCAAATGTGTGTGTGTGTGTGTGTGTGTGTGTGTGTGATGGGCAGGTTTAGGGGTCGGGTTAGTGTAAGCGGAGAGAATATATACTTGTACAGTATAAAAACCATTACGTCTATGGAGAGTCCCCACAAAGATAGCGAACCAGACGTGTGTGTGTGTGCGCGCTGATGTGCAGATGTGTGTGTGTGTGTGCAGGAGACTCACCCCGGGCTCACGGCCTCCTCCGGTACGCTGATACACGTCTGCGACGGGACACACATCTGCGACTCCTGGAAGTCCTGACTGGCTCGAGTGTCCATCACCAACACACTGATACTGGGATCCTTCATCAGCCGGAACAATCCCTCAGCGCTGATGCTTCCTGACGGGAGAGAGACAACCCTCACACAGGAGTACGAGAATCCAGCGGGACGTGTGTGTGTGTGTGTGTGTGTGTGTGTGTGTGTGTGTGTGTGTGTGTGTGTCGCACGGTACCTTTATCACATCCAGTCTTACTGCTGTTGGGCTCCACTTTAACCTGCCGTAAAACACGCAAAGGCAAAATTAATTATTAACGCATCACTTCAAACCATGCATGATGAAGATGTCTGTAAACTCTGAGCTGTTAAACGACCAGACCAGGGTGTCAGTGACTTGAGGAAATATGACAAGAACTATTACGGTATATCGCTAACGCTAAGGCATGTTCATATTGTCCTTTTGTAGCCAGATTCAGTCCGTCAGAGCTTGACTGAGGAGTTGAGCAGATTCACCGACAGTTACTTCTAGAAGAGTGTGTTTGCACTGACACACTCCTGCACAACACACACTCCTGCTCTACACACACACACACACACATCACTGCACCTTGTTGTCCTTCTTCTCTGAAGCTCTCGGTGAAGAACGTCCATCTTTCTCAGTTCTTTCTTCTCGTCTCTTTTCCTCCTGTCGGTCTTTCTCCTCCAGCTGTTTACGCACTTCCATTTCCTCATACCTGAGAGATAGCAGAAGAACACAGCGTTAGTGAGACACACACACACTCAGACTCACACACTCAGACTCACACACTCAGACACTCAGACTCACAGACTCAGACTCACACACACACACACACTCAGACTCACACACACTCAGACTCACACACTCAGACTCACACACTCAGACTCACACACTCAGACTCACACACTCAGACTCACACACTCACACACTCAGACTCTCAGACTCACACACTCAGACTCACACACTCAGACTCACACACTCAGACTCACACACTCAGACACTCAGACACTCAGACTCACACACTCAGACTCACACACTCAGACTCACACACTCAGACTCACACACTCAGACTCACACACTCAGACTCACACACTCAGACTCACACACTCAGACACTCAGACACTCAGACTCACACACTCAGACTCACACACTCACACACTCAGACACTCAGACTCACACACTCACACACTCAGACTCACACACTCAGACACTCAGACTCACACACTCAGACTCACACACTCAGACACTCAGACTCACACACTCACACACTCAGACTCACACACTCACACACTCAGACTCACACACTCAGACACTCAGACTCACACACTCAGACACTCAGACTCACAGACTCACACACTCAGACTCACACACACACACACTCAGACTCACACACTCAGACACTCAGACTCACACACTCAGACTCACACACTCAGACTCACACACACACACACTCGACTCACACACTCACTCACACACACACACACACACACACACTCAGACTCACACACACTCAGACTCACACACACTCAGACTCACACACACTCAGACTCACACACACTCAGACTCACACACACTCAGACTCACACACACTCAGACTCACACACACTCAGACTCACACACACTCAGACTCACACACACTCAGACTCACACACACTCAGACTCACACACACTCAGACTCACACACACTCAGACTCACACACACTCAGACTCACACACACTCAGACTCACACACTCGACTCACACACACACACACTCAGACACACACACACACACACTCAGACACACACACACACACTCAGACTCACTCACACACACTCAGACTCACACACACACTTAGACTCAGACTCTCACACACACTCTCAAGACTCACACTCACACACATGTGTGTGTGTGTGTGTGTGTGTGTGTGTGTGTGTGTGTGTGTGTGTGGTGTGAGAAACACTGACCGGAGCTTCAAACTCTCTGATAGTTTCTCTGCCTCCTCAATGGCCTTCTTAAAACTGTTCGGTCCGAGCATGGAGAGGAAGAACTCCTGAAACCAAGACACAAGACACCGTCACACACACCCACACACACACACGCGTATAATACACACACATCCTCAGCTCCGTTAAAAGCTCCCACAATGCACTGCGGCTGTACCTGCTGCTGCTTGAAGTCGGGCCTCTTCTTGATGAGGTCATAGACCGTCAGATACTTCATGTAGAGGACGTACGCTTTCTCCTCGTCTCGATCCAGACGACTCTCCTCCGCAGCCTTGAAGATCTTATAGGCGCTCTGAACATAGCTGGAACACACACACACACACACACACACGTACGCACGGATCAGAGGCTGAAGAGCTGGAACACACACACACACACACACACACACGCACGCACGGATCAGAGGCTGAAGAGCTGGAACACACACACACACACACACACACACGCACGCACGGATCAGAGGCTGAAGAGCTGGAACACACACACACACACACGCACGCACGGATCAGAGGCTGAAGAGCTGGAACACACACACACACACACACACGCACGCACGGATCAGAGGCTGAAGAGCTGGAACACACACACACACACGCACGCACGCACGGATCAGAGGCTGAAGAGCTGGAACACACACACACACACACACACACACGCACGGATCAGAGGCTGAAGAGCTGGAACACACACACACACACGCACGGATCAGAGGCTGAAGAGCTGGAACACACACACACACACGCACGGATCAGAGGCTGAAGAGCTGGAACACACACACACACACACACACGCACGGATCAGAGGCTGAAGAGCTGGAACACACACACACACACACACACACGTACGCACGGATCAAAGGCTGAAGAGCTGGAACACACACACACACACACACGGATCAGAAGCTGAAGAGCTGGAACACACACCCACAGTTCAGAGGCTGAAGAGCTGGAACACACACACACACACACAGATCAGACGCTGAAGAGCTGGAACACACACACACACACACACACGCTGACACACACACTCACTCACACACATCAGACGCTGAAACACACACACACACACACGGATCAGACGCTGAAGAGCTGGAACACACACACACACACACGCGCTGACACACACACTCACACACATCAGACGCTGAAACACACACACACACACACGCTGACACACACACTCACTCACACACATATCAGACGCTGAAACACACACACACACACACACACTCACACACATCAGACGCTGAAACACACACACACACACACGGATCAGACGCTGAAGAGCTGGAACACACACACACACACACAGATCAGACGCTGAAGAGCTGGAACACACACACACACACGCTGACACACACACTCACTCACACACATCAGACGCTGAAACACACACACACACACACACGGATCAGACGCTGAAGAGCTGGAACACACACACACACACACACAGAAGAGCTGGAGCAGATCCTTCTGAAACCTCAGAGTTTCTCACTGAACGACTCGAGACACAGAAGATTCAGAAACACACAATATTACACACAAAAGCTCATTACGACTTTATCTCACAATTCTCTCCTTCACCATGTCCCTCTCGGGGCTCCATAGAGAGTGTGTGTGTGTTTCAGCGTCTGATATGTGTGTGAGTCAGCGTGTGTGTGTGTGTGTGTGTGTGTGTGTGTGTGTGTTCCAGCTCTTCAGCGTCTGATCCGTGTGTGTGTGTGTGTTTCAGCGTCTGATATGTGTGTGAGTCAGCGTGTGTGTGTGTGTGTGTTCCAGCTCTTCAGCGTCTGATCCGTGTGTGTGTGTGTGTTTCAGCGTCTGATATGTGTGTGAGTGAGTGTGTGTGTCAGCGTGTGTGTGTGTGTGTGTGTGTGTTCCAGCTCTTCAGCGTCTGATCCGTGTGTGTGTGTGTGTGTGTGTGTGTGTGTGTGTGTGTTTCAGCGTCTGATATGTGTGTGAGTGAGTGTGTGTGTCAGCGTGTGTGTGTGTGTGTGTGTGTGTTTCAGCGTCTGATGTGTGTGAGTGTGTGTGTCAGCGTGTGTGTGTGTGTGTGTGTGTTCCAGCTCTTCAGCGTCTGATCCGTGTGTGTGTGTGTGTGTGTTTCAGCGTCTGATGTGTGTGAGTGAGTGTGTGTGTCAGCGTGTGTGTGTGTGTGTGTGTGTGTGTTCCAGCTCTTCAGCGTCTGATCCGTGTGTGTGTGTGTGTGTTTCAGCGTCTGATGTGTGTGAGTGAGTGTGTGTGTGAGAGGAAAAAAGTGAGATATAAAGTTGGATTTGCGAGAATAAAATATGACTTTTGTGAGATTTTAATGTTTTTATTCCGTGGCTTCCGTAGAACTAATAGTGCTGTTGAGTGTTAAAGCTGAGAGTAAAATAATCGTTTAAACTGATTAACAAACACTGGCCAACCGACTGGTGTCTGTGTGTGTGTGTGTGTGTGTGTGTGTGTGTGTGTGTGGGGGTGTGTGTTCCTGGAGAGCAACATGCTGTCGGCCCAGATCCGGCCCACATGTGGTGCTCTCCGGGTTTATGATGATCTTACCGTGTGACTTCATATCACGGCATGATCTCTGCGGTTCACACTCACTTTCTGGTGCTGGTCTTTTCCGGTTTGACTTCCGCTTTCTTGTTGAGTTCCCTCAGTGACGAGGACAGGTACAGATCCTTCACTCCACTGGACACAGACGGCATCTCAGCTCATATTCCTGCAGACACATTCATATCCATAACGTCATCATAATACTCATAACATCATCATAATCATATCCATAACACTATCACATCATCATATCCACTACTTCATTAGAACCATGACTAGGCGAATCAGTAACTCGATCCACCAACTGACTATTTAAATATATTTTTAATAACTGAACAATCATGTCAAAATAATCAGAGTGAAAACAGAATAATCAGAGACATTTTAGTTATTAGACCAATAACCTGATAATTTGACCAACAATACAATAATCAGACCCCTGACAAAACAATCAGATTGATATGATGATAATAATCAGAGTGTAAACAGAAGCAGTTCTGATGATCATATTCATAACACTACAGTAAATCAGTAATCGGGTGTTTTTCTGTCCCCCGTATGAGCTCGACTCACCCCCACACACACACAGCTGGACTAAAGCCTGCGGACAGATCCTGGATCCGCATAAACCGCAGATCCGCTCGGGAAACTGACGTTTATCCACAATAATGACAGTAAACACTGAAACTGCTCGATCGAACGCGGAAGTCGAAGGATTCAAAGGCCGGAAGCTTTATTTAAACACACACTGCGCACAAACAGAAGTTTTAGATGTCAACACACACACACACACGATGTCTGTATCACCTCTGTGTGTTTAAACTCAGTCTTGCTCATTAGACACTGGTTTCTATCAGCATTACTGACACTTTCATATGTTGTTCGTGAACTGGAGTGTTATTAATATCAGTCTCTTAAGCGCAATGTTTCTGAGGAGATTATTATTGTTCTGTTGCGCACTTCAGTCAGCTGACTGACTCACAGCACTGCGCATGCGCGCTGCCTTCATTCTGCTTTTGCAGCAGTTTTGTTTTTTAAAGAAATAAATCGCGATAAAATATACAATACAAAAAAATATAGATAAATATAATATAAAAAAGAAGATCAATAGGCCTCTCTGCAGCAGAGTGTGGATGACGTGTTCATATTTTATTTCGCGTATTCTGTATGTTCTGTCATCGATCGCGCTCGTGCCCGGCGCTCGTGCCCGCTGCGGTATTATTGTCATCTGGGTTTGTTTTCAGGGATCGGGTTCGGTTCGGTTCGGTTCTGATCTCTCACGGTAAGATGTACAGAATTCTGCGTGATCGGTTCCGCCGGATGTGGAAGTTGATGAGTTTGAGCGCATTAATGTTTCCTCTTCCTCCGGAACAACAGCGAGTTCCTGTTTATTGCGTTTAACGGGCCGCGCGCGCCGCTTCATATTCACCGATCATAACCATAACCATACCGATGATGATGATGATGATGTTTTAGGCTCGAGATGAAGCTCTTCTTCACATCTGGTGTTGATATAAAGCAGTTTCTGAGAGATTCATGTGTAGTTAATCACACACTTATTCTAGCATCTGAAGAATAGATGTAAGATTATACAATACATAATTTAATTTTGTGAAATGACGTGTTTTCCATTATTGGACTCTGATACCTTGATGACGTTTTTACAGTAGCCTAATTGTTGTGTAGCCATTTAACTGGTGGAGTTATTATTATTAAAGAACTGGTAAAACTGATTGCTGTAAGTATAACACAACGACTGATATAAAAACACATTAGAAACTGGAACTCAGAATATCAGTGACACTAGAGTAAACCACGGTACACTATCTCTGCAGTGGATCTCATAGTTTCAGTGTTCATGTACATAACAACATTAACTGGACATTAGAGACATGATGACAAGCCTTACTCAAAAGTAAAAAACAAAAAAAAGTGTACTAGCCATAAGTAGAAGAATCCAGATTTAATTGGACTCATCATGTATGAAAGCATAAAAAGTACTTTTTTATACATATATAATTTTACTTTTGAAAACAAGACAGTAGAGATTGCCTCATTTTAGCCAATTTTATTTATAAAGCACATTTAAAATCAACCTGTACAAGTGCTGTACATGAGAGATGTTTCTTTAATGGCTTGAACACTTTCAGGTCAAATATCCACTACTCGACGACCACACGTAACTAGCTTATTTTTAACCAAAATCAAATCGTACTATTACTGTACATAATGGCACGTCCCAGTGTTTACTCCTCGAGTGGCAGTTCTAACTTCTTTCTGAACTCAAGTTATGTAATTAACATTAGTGGAATATGAATGTGACCGAGCTGGGGTCTCAAATGTTACACGTTTTCAGAAATGAAGATGGACAGACTTTCCCCCCTTTAATGAGATAAGTGTGTAAAAACGGCACATCACTCGCATTAGAATAAAAAAAGCCATCAAATAAACGTAGAAATGCAATGTAAAAATAAAATAATAATCAATCTTCTTCATATCCTTGGAATTATTTAAACAAAAACATTCACAGCAGAGATGTTCTGTAAAAACAACTATCGTACTAAACAAATATAGACTGTATTTTCTTC